CATACAGAGTGCAGTGGTCAGGAGTATGTCATATACAACCCAGCGTAAAGAGTGCAGTGGTCAGGAGTAAGTCATATGCAGTCCACCGTACAGAGTGCAGTGGTCAGGAGTATGTCATATACAACCCAGCGTACAGAGTGCAGTGGTCAGGGTACAGAGCGTAGTGGGCAGGAGTATGTCATATACAACCCAGCGTAATGAGTGCAGTGGTCAGGAGTATGTCATATACAGCCCAGCGTACAGAGTGCAGTGGTCAGGAGTATGTCAAATACAGCCCTGCGTACAGAGTGCAGTGGTCAGAAGTATGTCAAATACAGCACAGAGTACAGACTGCAGTGGTCAGGAGTATGTCATATACAGACCACCGTACAGACTGCAGTTGTCAGGAGTATGTCATATACAGCCCAGCTTACAGAGTGCAGTGGTCAGGAGTATGTCATATATAGCCCAGCGTACAGAGTGCAGTGGTCAGGAGTGTGTCATATACAGCCCAGCGTACAGAGTGCAGTAGTCAGGAGTGTGTCATATACAGCCCACCCTACAGACTGCAGTAGTCAGGAGTATGTCATATACAGCCCAGCGCACAGAGTGCAATGATCAGGAGTATGTCATATACAACCCAGTGTAACGAGCACAGTGGTCAGGAGTATGTCATATACAACTCAGCATACAGAGTGCAGTGGTCAGGAGTATGTCATATACAACCCAGCGTAATGAGCACAGTGGTCAGGAGTATGTCATATACAACCCAGTGTATAGAGTTCAGTGGTCAGGAGTATGTCATATACAGACCACCGTACAGAGTGCAGTGGTCAGGAGTATGTCATATACAGCCCACCGTACAGACTGCAGTGGTTAGGAGTATGTCATATACAGACCACCGTTCATAGTGCAGTGGTCAGGAGTATGTCACATACAACCCAGTGTACAGAGTGCAGTGTTCAGGAGTATGCCAGCGTACAGAATGAAGTGCATAGACATAGCAGGAAGTGAGAAGAAATCCTCCAAAGTGAGGGAAATACCTGGTAGTCACCAGAGCCAGTGCCCCCACTGGAAGATTTCTCCTCTATTGCTGTTCTGGTGACAATTTAAAGTGAAAAATGTTTAGGCATCATTATCCCCCCTCCCCTCTTCTACTTACCTGAGCCGTCAGTTGATCCAGTGCTGTGCACGTCTCCAGCTCTTCTTTCCCCTCACTTCTGGGTCTCACTGGCTTTGTTGGGGCACCAGGAGCCATTGGCTCCCATTGCTGTAAATCAATGCCAGGGATGACGGAATGGGGAACAGGGCAGAGTCCCGCTGTCTATGTCCATGGATGCACATGGAAGTGGCTTCTTATGGGGGCACTGGACAGGGAGGAGAAGCCAGAAGCGGTGGTGGGGGACCCAAGCAGTTTTCAGGGATGCTCTGTGCAATTCCATTGCACAGAGCAGGTAAGTATAGACATGTTTGTTTGCTTGTTTGTTTTAATTTATCTTTACAACCACTCTAAAATTTAAGGTTTTCTTTCACTTTCGGTGAACATGAACAACAGGACAAAAAGAGAGAGAACATCTCCCGAATGGGGACAAAGACAACAATATAAACCTGGCATGTGTTCTAACACCTCTCTACTCAATCTAAAACCAAAAAAAAGCTTTGCCTTCACTTATACATTAAGTTAGCAGGCTTTTCTGCTACTTTCCTAGGTCCAACCTCATAGCTTATTAGTGATCAGTCTGTGTGCAATTCACTTGGGGTTTTTATTGGGAGGGGGGGGGCTTTTATATATTTACAATTCATCTCCAGTGGGACAGGCGAAAAATTAGAAACCAGCCCTGCCTACTGTGTGAGTACCTGATGAAGTCCCCATCCTGGGGAACACAGACCTAGGGACCTTTAGAGACCCTAAGAGCTTCAAATGGGTTTATTTACTAAAGGCAAATAGACTCTTTATTTTTAAAAGAATTTTCCCCAAATTAGTGAATGAGCTGAAGCTCTGCTGACTTTCATCATCCAATAATGAGCAAGTAAAAATGTATATTTTTATTTTCCTTGCATGTGTTTGGGTATTTTTTATAATATGAAAGTGCTTTTCATCCTGTTCCTGAGCAGTAAAATGTCTAAACCTCTAGCAGCACTTTCAAAGACATATGTTGAGTAGGCAGTAAAGTGACTGCTAATTGACTACAAGACTGGGTTCTAGGGGTGGTTCTAAACAGACTCCATAAGTGTGGCCAAGGTGAATGTGTAAAGCCTCCTAGATTGACATATAAGACCCAGAAGTGAAGACCAGTTTGTGTTTGCAGAGCGATCGGGTTTAAACTTAGACACCCCTACTAAAAAAAACGTTGAGTGCTACAGGTCCTAGTTTTGGTGCAGATTGGTTAAGTGTGACCCTGGAAGCTTCCAGTGTTATCCATGTTCTGAGGATGTACATGATGTTTCTCCCCATAATTCATGAATGGCTCTCACTGGCAGCCAAGATGTATCTACACCGGCAACTAAGCCTCTATTGCAATTTGTAGCCTCAGTCACCACTTCACCTTCATTCGCAGCCTTCAATGAACCTATAGGCTCTGCTGCCTTCACAATATGTGCCATTTCTGCACCCACAGCCTCAAGCTTCTCTGGCTTCACTTCTGGACCCACTGCCTCAAGCTTCTGCTGTGCCACCTGTGAACCTACAGCCTCTAGACTGTGCTGGTCCTCTGATGCCCCCACAGCCTCAAGCCTCTGTGGCTTCACCTCTGGATCTGGACCTCCTGCCTCAAACTTCTGCTGTGCCACCTGTGAACCTATAGCCTCTAGACTGTGCTGGTCCTCTGATGCACCACAGCCTCAAGCCTCTATGGCTTCACCTCTGGACCCATTGCCTCAAGCTTCTGCTGTGCCACCTGTGAACCTACAGCCTCTAGACTGTGCTGCTCCTCTGATGCACTCACAGCCCCAAACTTCCGCTTAACCTCCTTTGCACCTGCAGCTTCAAGGCTGACCTCCTGCTACCAGTGCCGCAAGTCTCTACCATGCTTCAGTTCCTTTTTATCTGAAAGCTACCATCCTCCATATCTGTGAATATCTGTTGACTGACCTGAGGGTAAGCACAAACTCCTAGGGGAAAGAGGAGTTTTCTGGAGAACACCAGCTACCTCTAGATTCCTTGCTCAAAAGAAACAACTGTGTAGAGTGAAAGGTTCTCCATCTGATTTTTGCAGTTTCTTAGACTAAAGCTGGTCACATACTAACCAAACTTTGGGCAATCCAGTTTCCTCCCATTCCTGAGAAGTCAAATGTCTTAGGGAAGCCCAACAGAAGTCAATTGTTGATCAAGCAAAGTCAATTGTTGATTAAACAATTGACTTCTGTTGGGCTCCCCCCCGCTCAACGGAAGTCAATTGTTTAGCCAACTTCTGTCGAAGAGGACATGTTAGAAATTTTTCTAATAATCAGTGTCTGCAGTCAATCAGTTGCAGCAGCTGATCAGTGGAAGTCAAAGGTAGTGGACATACTGGGATGAGAATTTTGGCAGTGTTCTGTTTCTAAAAGGTTTCTCAATCTTTTGTCTGAAGCTAAAGCACGGCCCAGGAAAAACAAGCTGAATCAAACATAAAAATATCAACTATAAGAAAAGATTTTCCACTTTTATAGCACCTACAATTCCTCATTATTATTATTAACAAATAAAATATACAGGCAAAACAAAAGTGCATGAAAAAGCTGAAATTTTATTAGTTAAAAGAGATATAAAAAGAGGCCTCAAGAAGTAGCATGAGAATTACAGTGCAGACATTACAAGAGTAAATGACCCAGCACAATATATCAGTGATTTCTTTCATTTATCCAATTATCGATGTCTTGCATACCCGGTAAAGTCTCTATGGTATTTCAGTGGATCTGCAGTGGTATAGGTGGGTCAGTAACTGTAGAACATGATACAATACACGGCGTATGTTCCTTTCAAGCTGAAATCTGTACTAGGTTTGAAACCCTGTTTTCTGTTAATATTTTGACTGCTGGACTCTTTCACTTGAAGAAACAACTTTTCCGTCTACGGTTTCCTCAATGATGGTACGAACTTGACGGGACGTTTGAGGGCCTGAAGTTAAAAAATACTATTAAGTACTGGCTAGCTTAGATGGGAAAAAGTTATTTTACTGTAGCTATTATATTAGAAGGATCGGTAATCCAAAATAAAGTTACGGAACTGTTATGCTAGCCATGTGTTAGCTGATTTTCGAACAAATGTTTATAGGAAAATTCTTAGTACATTCAATGGTTTACCAAATGTTGTTCTAAAGTACTTCAAAATGTCTTTTGCTTTTAACATTTGACTTTGGTGCTAATGGACTTTACCAAACAAAAATGACTTTTAAGCTGGCTACACATTATTCAATGTTCTTGTTCAATTTCCTTTTAGATTTACTTTCAACTATGTAGCCAAAGGCCTGGCTGATTGCATACAATTTGAAAGTGTTTGGGTGTGACCTCATAATTTATGGTTTTGGTAAATCTAAAGGAAAATTGTAAAAGAAAATTGTATAATGTGTAGCCAGCTTTACTGTTAGGCATTTGTTCAAGATAAAAATTCCATTCATGAAGAACTTCTTAGCCCCCACTCCTCCTGCACCCAATTAACTGCAAGTCAGAATGCATCCCAATACCTATATACCGGTAACCAAATCCAGTAAAAGTAAATAATATTTAACTGTAATATCATACTCTATATCACATTGTATCCCTGTTTCAACTCACAAAGGAATATGTTAATTAGAAGTTATTGGGGATTGTACTTACTTTCTTTGTAGGAAATTCTGTTGGAAGGAAAAGAGAAAAAAAAAAATAAAAACTTAACAAGCCAGGACAGTTTTGAGAACAATGAAATTATTCAATGGCAGATTGATGAGGGCAATTATAAAGTAAGATGTTAATATTTGGGATGGCAATGTTGATAATAAATTCTTTAGCAACTACTACTTTATTTGGTCATTACTGCTCTATGGTATGTTTATATTTCTACTTACTTGGTATCTTCTCCCTCAAGTAGGCGTCTGTAGGTGGCAATTTCCTGTTCTAGACGGGTCTTGACGTCCATGAGGATTTTGTATTCATAGCTCTGTCGTTCCATATCTGATCGCATCTCGGAAAGCTGGGCTTCTACACTGCTGATAAGATCCTGTATCTGGGCGAGCTGTGCACAGTATCGGCCTTCTGTGTCTGCCAAGGTACCTTCCAATGCTGATTTCTATCATAGGGTAACAGATTTATTTGAGTTATATACTGTTTCCACTTTGTGTCTGAAACAATGATGATAGACGTTCTTAGTGAATGGGTATGAGAAACATTTGAACAAAGGACATACCATGCTTAGCTGGGTCTGCAGTTCGATCTCCAAGCTTTGAAGTGTACGTTTGAGGTCGGTGATTTCTGTTTTGCTGAACTGGATCTGTTCACTGTGGCTTGCAACTTCTCTGCTCAGTTCTTCTGTCTGTCAGGTTAAAATAAACATTGAACATGTTACTGGCTTTGTCCTCAGTCTGAACCAACCTTTATTAAACTGGTTTTCATGTAAATCTAGGGTTCCTCCCAAGGTCACTAGGAGTTCCTGCCTGATAGTGCCTGCATAGTTCCAGTGATGACATCCTTGGCCAAGCTCCTGGCATGGGGACCTGTGGAGCTTTTCCTCTCATGCTTTAGTTTTGTTATGACTTTAGTTATCTTTTTTCAGCTGTCTCTAAAAGGAATGTTCTTCTCAAAGGCCACCAATGCAGCTGGATATTATTCTTCCCACTGATCAAAGAACACTGGGGAACTGGAGAAAGTACAAAGAAGGGCAACCAAACTGATAAGAGGAATGGAGAAGCTCAGCTATGAGGAAAGATTAGAAGAACTGAATGTATTCTCTCTTGAGAAGAGGAGATTAAGGGGGGATATGATCTCTATGTATAATACATAAGGGGGGATATGATCTCCATGTATAATACATAAGGGGGGATATGATCACCATGTATAATACATAAGGGGGGGATATGATCTCCATGTATAATACATAAGGGGGATATGATCTCCATGTATAATACATAAGGGGGATATGATCTCCATGTATAATACATAAGGGGGAATATGATCTCCATGTATAATACATAAGGGGGATATGATCTCCATGTATAATATATAAGGGGGATATGATCACCATGTATAATACATAAGGGGGATATGATCTCCATGTATAATACATAAGGGGGGATATGATCACCATGTATAATACATAAGGGGGGATATGATCTCCATGTATAATACATAAGGGGGGATATGATCTCCATGTATAATACATAAGGGGGATATGATCTCCATGTATAATACATAAGGGGGGTTATGATCTCCATGTATAATACATAAGGGGGGATATGATCTCCATGTATAATACATAAGGGGGGATATGATCACCATGTATAATACATAAGGGGGGATATGATCTCCATGTATAATACATAAGGGGGGATATGATCTCCATGTATAATACATAAGGGGGATATGATCTCCATGTATAATACATAAGGGGGGATATGATCTCCATGTATCAATACATCAGTGGTCCATATAGTGAACTCGGTGTAGAGCTATTCATCCTGACATCATCACAGAGGACAAGGGGGCACTCTTTATGTCTGGAGGAAAATAAATTTAATCTCCAAACATGGAAAGGTTTCTTCACAGTGAGAGCTTTGAAAATGTGGAATCGACTCCCTCAAGAGCTGGTTCTGGCCAGCTCAGTACATTGCTTTCAAAAAGGCCTGGATTCTTTCTTAGATGCACAGAATATAACTGGATACTAACATTTATATTCCTAGATTGTAAGCTCGAAAGAGCAGGGCCCTTGACCCCCTTGTGTTTTGTTTTGTTACTGTATTATCTCGTGTTTTGTCCCCCACTATTATGTACAGCGCTGAGCAAACCTTTTAGCGCTATATAAATACTGTATAATAATAATAATATATAGGTTAAGTTGATCCAGGATATATCCAATTGTCTCTCGGGGCATCAGGAAGGAATTTTTTCCCCTGCAGGAGCAAATTGATTCAAGCTTTGCTGGGTTGTTTTGCCTTCCTCTGGATCAACTGTAGGTAATATGATTATAACTTTTTTTTTTTTTTAAATGGTTGAACTGGATGGACTTTTGTCTTTTTTTCAGCCAGACTAACTTTGTAACTATGATCACCTATGTAAAGGGGCCCTTCTTTCAATGGCCTCTAATTTAAGAGGGCATTTTCTCCACTAACCATGAATGTAAGAGGGCACTTTTCACAATGACCACCAATGCAAGAGGATACTACAATTTTCACTGCCTAAGTTGTTGGTTTTTTTAGCCATTACTTGTTTCATTTATACAGAAACCAAAAAAAAGTTTTCTATTGAAAACATAAATACATTTTTTTTATTAATATATATCTAGATACGGAAATATGATAATTTTTGGCAGGGGTTCCCAAAGACCATAACATTTATTTAAGGGTTCCTCCAGGATAATTAGGTCAGGAAAGGCTAGTCTTAGCAATATTGCTATAAAGTTACCCATATTGTACGACTGCCCTACCTTCTTGAAGTACCATTCTTCAACTTCCTTGCGGTTCTTTTCAGACAGGCTTTCATATTGGTCTCTCATTTCAGCCAAGATCTTGGTCAGGTCATTACCCGGGGCAGCATCCATTTCCACATTGACAGTACCACGAACTTGTCCACGAAGGACATTCATTTCCTGTGCACAAGCATTTTTATTTTAGAAAGTGACTATTAGAAGAAGATAATGTGAAATTTTATCATTACATTTAATTTTACGTACCATGTTGTGTTTTTTATATATAAAGGATGATTAGCAACTGTAATGCATTGATCATTTATTTTGTTGATGCCATTTTTTAGATAAAGATTTGGTGGTAGGAGATATTATTTAGTAGGGCATCCACAACTAAAAGGATATTCTTTTCAATGGTTCCTAAAGTTGGCCATAGATGGATCACAATCTGTCTGATTCGAAATCGAAATTTGCCCAGTTCAGCAGGGACTGGACGAATTTTGATCCATCTATGGCAGTTCCCATCCCAAAGAAGTCACTCTAATGATCGACTTCTATTAAACCAGCTTGTTGGCTGATCAAAAAAAACTGATCTATGTATTGCCAGCCTTATATATACATGTAAAAGGGATTAGCTTGATATAAAGAATATTATCACTGTCATAATGATTTCAAACACTTGTCTATGTATAATTCATAGTTAACTATGAACATAGGGGCAGCCAAAATAGCTCATTACATATGTAGGCTCTGCTTCCTGCTTTGAAGCACCACACAATGGTCATGCTTTACTGCTCATTTTCTCAATCAAAATGAGAGTCAGCTGACTCATTAAAAACAATGCACTCCCTCTGAAGATATATTGTCTCAGTAGTTCTTATCAAGTGAGGCTGTTAAGCATTTGCATTGTCTAGCAACTAATCTACAAATCTGCATAATTAATAAAACCACAGCAATATGAAAGAACACACAATCTGTGAAATGTAAATAAAAAATTACTTGAAGGCTGGCATTATAGCAAAATCGCTATAGATACTCAATATATATATTAATTGAAAATGACTAGGTGGTTCCCATAGAAGTTGTTGAAAACATGTTTGTCTTTGGTCCATGAGGAAGACATTGAAATGATGATTTCCCCAAGACCAGCTTGGGTCCACCAGGCAAACAGCAAGTGAGGCAGCCTTTCTACAGAGACTCATTTTTCTCAAGGATACCTGGATACATAGCTTTTATTAAATATACTGTACCTCTTCGTGGTTCTTCTTCAAGTAGGCCAACTCTTCCTTTAAGCTCTCAATCTGGAGTTCCAGGTCAGACCTGGTTAGAGTTAGTTCATCCAGAACTTTGCGAAGGCCGTTGATATCAGCCTCAACATTTAGTCTAAGGGCATGTTCAGTTTCATATCTAAATACAAGGAGAAAAGTAAAAGTTGGTCCAATGTTCTGATACAGGTGTACATTTTATCATGGTGTGTCTTGTAAGTGCTCAGTGTTGTGTCTTTTGTGCATCTAAACAAGGTCTACTCTCTTACTTTGTTCTGAAGTCATCAGCGGCCAGTTTGGCATTGTCAATTTGTAGGACCACACTGGCATTCTCCACAGTGACGTGCTGGATCTAAGAATCATGAAAATACAAAAACATTGAGTTATTACTATCCCTTAAGAATAAAATCTGCCTTTTTATCAATGACATGGTGGAAAAAAAGAGTGTTGTGCATTAACCAAAAGCATCCAATCAGGTTTTGGTTTCAGAATTCTGGAATTTAGCACCTTCAGACAAGTGAAAGCCAATTTCCGATTGATCGATTTAGGTTACTATTGCACATCACTGCTTTTTGGGTTTCTTTTTCAAGCATTCACTTATGTATGGTGGTAGAAAACATTGTCATTGTAATCATATAACACCATTTATCAGAAATCAGGCTAATAGTCGATAAAAGTGGAGGTAAGGGCTGCCAGAAGGGCAGTCGATTGAGACACTGTTTTACTGCCTCCTCCTGTCCACCCACCCAATAGAGGACATGAAGCTGCTCCAGACTATATACATTCCCCAGTAAAAATCAAAACCCTGTCAAATTCAATGGGCAGTAAAGCCACCAATCAAGTGGTTGCAGCATGGTGGTCCAACCTTTTCAGAGCCAAAACAGGTGGTGAGGAGACCTCACAGTCACCTGTCAACCGACCTCTGAAAAATGATCCACCACAGATCACATTTGGGGTGGCAAGTGCTGAATGAGGCCTTAGGCTTTGGGCCTCATATTACAGTAAGGAAATAACTGTGTGACCCACAGCAACCAGAAACAAGAACTGCTTTTCCCTAAGACAGTTTGAAGACCATTTTTGCTTCTTCTGCTATTGAAACTGTTTCTTTTCTTAAGATTTAAAGAATGTTCCTAGAAGGGAATATTGGCATTTGAAAACAATGTATCAGTACTTATAAATGTAAATATAAATGATTAAATACCCTGTACAAAACAGGTGCAGGCATGCTTGCATGTCTCACATTGATTGCGTCATCAGTGTGAGTCATGTGTGCATTGATGTCATCATTTTTAGCATATACATGGTTGAAAGTGATCACAAAAGTTCTACTTTTCAAATTGGATATATAATGCTAAATAATTAAGACAGTTTGATTGTATTGCCATATGTCATGTCATAATGATGTTTATTTTTACATTATTATATAGAGTAGTGTTAGATTAATGTATTGTCTTATTTTAGGTTTTCTGTGTTTTGGATCACTGTAATAACCATTTGCTTTTGAAGCTAAATAAGAAAAGGAAACACAATAATCATTCAGAAAATGTAAAATACGTAATAAAGTACTTGCCATTATTAATAATAATAAAATAACAGTGAAAATGACACCCTAAGACTTTGCAAAGAGAGATGATGTTGTGAAAAGTACTGAAACTGCAAAGCAACACCAATCAAAAACAAATTTCATAATTGATGTCTCTATGTTTAACAGAGAAAGGGTCGGTTGCTTTGTGTTGAATTTTCCATATCATAAATTCATTTTTAATTCCACATCATAAAGTCTTGCACAGGAATGCCTATATAACGGTTCATAGCTGAAAGGTGGGTGTAAATGATAATGCAGTGAACCTCCTCTTACCTTGTTACGAAGATCTTCAATAATTTTGTAGTATTGGCTATAGTCATTAGATGGGCTTGGGGTTTGCTTCTCATACCACTCTCTGATTTTGATCTCCAGCTCAGAGTTAGCCTTCTCCAAGGAGCGCACCTTGTCCAGGTAGGAGGCCAGACGGTCATTCAGGTTCTGCATGGTTTCCTTCTCTCCTCCAGCCAGGAGACCATCTCCACCTCCAATTCCACTTCCATGGCCATAACCAAAGTTAGATGAGTAGCTGCCACCATAACCACCACCCATGCCACCTAGTCCACCACCTAGACCACCTAGTCCACAACCTAGACCACTAACCCCAGAAGACACCATCCTTGAGGTTGAGATGGAGACATTTTTCCCACCGCTACCTCCTTGCATGCTAGGTGCCCTGTAGCTACCCATGGACACTCTGCTTGAACCACCACCTAACCCCAAGCCACTTGAGGATCCTGATGATGTATAGGTTTGCTTCATGCTGTATGAGCTCATGATGAAACTCTAATGTCTGTCTTTTCCTATGTGCTACTTGATGTTATGGTTGAGAGTAAGAAGCCCAGACTTTCTATCCTTGACTTTATACCAAGAGACGTGGGCGTGATTTCCTCTTAAGGATGGGTTCCTCGTAAGAGTCATCAGCTTTAATTTGCGTGCCAACTTCGTGAGAGAAGCGGGATTCATAATTACCTCACTGGTCTGAGAGAATAACCCAGAAGTGTCTCATACCCCCCTCCCCTATCTCTTCTTACTTTAAAACTTTCTTAGACAAAACTCTTACATATACGGGAGGAGGCATTGTCTGTATGTGCTCTGCTAGCATCTAAAACAAAAGGTCTGATTCACATTGAGTCAGGGAGGCTTCTGGCTTCAGGCTATGCATTTGACATTCCTGTACACTTAACCAGGTAAAACTGTATTGTCACCCCTCCCTACTCAGGAAAGATGGGAATGTAGTTGAAATGAGAGATTGTGTTGTTCAAGACAATTCACTCCACCATATTTGGTTCTGTTAACCCTCAAGGCCAACCTGACAAGAAGAGTATCCATCATGACAAGGTGAGTATCAGATATCAATCATTCAAGTAGATCGAAACCCTAACTGGATGATATTTCTTTTTTAACACTGTCTATCACACACAAATACCATGTTATTTCCATAAAATACTGTTTTGACCTTTTTTTAAGTCTTTAGCATTTCAATGATTTTTTGCAGCCTGTCACTCGCTATAGTGTCAGTTGAACATCATTGCTCTAGAAAGATTTTCGATAGTGATCGCATTGGTCCATGAGTAATGTGTGTTAGTACTGACATCCACCAGGTATGTATGTGACAGGGTGAGACAGTTTCCACCATATAACAGGAAGTTCAATAAAAATAAAAACCCTGCACAACCAATTTAACCACTTGCCCTCCAGAGGATTTACCCCCCTTCCTGACCAGGCCATTTTTGCGATACGGCGCTGCATTACTTTAACTGACAATTGCGCGGTCATGCAATGCTGCACCCAAATTAAATTTGTGTCCTTTTTTTCTCATAAATAGAGCTTACTTTCAGTGGTATTTGATCACCTCTGCGATTTTTATTTTTTGCACTATAAATTAAAAAAGACCGACAATTTTGAGAAAAAAAAACAATATTTTTTACTTTTTGCTATTAAACATATCCAGTAAAAAAAAATGTAAAAACTCAAATTTCATCATAAATTTAGGCCAGAATGTATTCTGCAACATGTCTTTGCTAACAAAAATCTCCTGGGAACTTTCACCTCTTCTGTGAATATCAATAATTTATACAGTCCATCATTGCTTTTCACCATCGAAAATCCAGAATAGTGTGCAGAATAATTAGTAGATCACCATCACTCAGTGTGTGCACCACCTTCCAACCGAACCGCTTGCCTCAGGAAATTGCCCCCTTGAGAGTATGGTCAATCTGTGCCTTGCCCTTTAAATTGGGCTACTTCTTCTCGCCGCCTCAATATAAGCATTATAAACATTCCTCCATGTGCAGCTCAAAAGAATAAAAGAAGAAACCTCATAGCGCAATATATCAACTTACTATACAGATTTATTAAGCACCTAGATTAATATATCACTTACAAGGAAAGTGAACTTCGCTCAGTGCATGTAGAAACAATTGCTTCTTTAAAACAAGGGTTTCCCTCTTAAGAGAAAGTTTTGGCCTCATATAGCTAACCAAGATGGCCGACTTCCAGTTCTGTCTCACGTGATGATGTTGTTGACGCGTTTCATCATTCAATCATGACTGCTTCAACAGGGAAGGGTTTTTTTTCCTTCTGAAGCAGTCATGGTTGGGTGTCCAGAGCAGTCCTGGTGTGTAAAAAGTGGCTGTGCCAAGATTCAGTATAAATTTCTGATTTATACATATTAGAGAAATTTTTTACTCACAGCTCAGGGAACTCTATATAGCACACCATAGGGAGCTAGCGTTTTCTTTTAAACTTGGCAGGTTTGTAGATTAACAGAAGCATGGCTCCTTTTGAAGCTTAAGCCTGCATTCACACCACATGTGATTTGGAAAGGAATTGCATCGCATTCCTATTCAAATCACATGCGCTTCTTTGCGATGTGATTTGAGCCCATTCATTCTGTATTGGCTCAGATCACACAGCACCTGAAAAAGGTACAGGCATCTTTTTTTTTGCTGAACTGGAATCTGTGTTCACACCCATGCGATCCGATTCTGGTAATAGTACTGCCTTTTGTGAACTGTTTTGGGGTGTCATTAATTTAAGATTGACTCCCGCAGTAGATCGCATGGGTGAAGTGCGATTTCAAAGTGGTGGCGGAAACCACAGGATTTGCGCCGTTTCCCGTACCTCATATATGTGAACCATGGCTAAAGAGGAACATCACCCAGGCATGATAAAATTGTAGCTGCTGACTTTTAAAAAATAGATACTTATCAGCCTATGCAGTCCAGAGCTGTCAAGATCCCTTGGATGTTTGAATGGATGGATACTTTTTACTAAAATATATTTAACCCCAAACTTGTTTTTTTTTTTTTCAGTTTTATATACAGTAGGTAATGTTTAAAACCCTGGATGGACCGTTTTTTGGGGGGGGGGTTTCATACCTATCTCCTAGACAAAGCAGGAAAGTAAAGAAAAATCCCTCTTAGACAGGTGTCCCCAGTGGATGACTTCCCTTCAGTTTTGGAGTTCAAAATTTTAAAGTTTTCATACTTTTAGTCTTTGTGACATTGACCACTAGGTCTGGTTTAAATCGGAACTCCAGACAAAAATAGCTGGATAAAAATGAAGCTCAATAAAAGGAAAAATAACAAAACCAGCTTTTGCTGTTTTGTTGCACTTTCAATCCAAAAATTTCTCATACAGGAATTTTTTCTCTACCACTACATGCCTTCAATCTGATGGTCAGACTCAGCATCATTCAACCCACTTCCTCATCCTGGACCCATCCTAGTCGGTGACTGGACAGTGAAAGGAGAAGCAGCATAATGATGTGCACATCTCTCTTTCACTCTGCTTACTCCTCCAATCAGTATTCGGTTTGCCAGCACATGATTGGCCCCTTGTACAGCTTCTTCCTCTCACACTGCTACTCTACTTATAGGGGCTGCAGGAGATACAGGGACAACTTTGAATACTTACACTGCTTGTATTTAAAAAATATGTTTGATCATATATTTATGATTACAAAGCTGTGATAATTTGTGTCTCTTATATCTGCCTGGAGGTCAGCTTTAACTGCTTCCTGCCCAGCCCATAGACAAGAGACGGCTGAGTGGGAGCTTTCTGGTTATGGGTGGATGTCATATGACATCCTCCCAGTCACGGGCTGTGTTGCAATGCAGTCTGTCACTCGCTGTGTTTATCGGCCTTAGTACCATGTCATCGCTGTGACCAATCACAGTGATCACATGACAGTTGTACACAATGAATGGCTTTTATTCATAGCCATTCATGGTGTACTATTGTGATGATCACAGTGATCACATGGTAGGGACAGACACAATCACAGTGCATCTGTACCATGTGATAGCTGTGACCAATCACAGCTTTCATAATAATACACAATGACTGAATGGATGTCATTCATAAAAATGATTGCTTATAACGGTGATCATCACTGTTATAAGAAATCATAGTGTAAAAAAAAAAAATCACTGATCACTCCCCCTAAAACTAGGGTAACACTGTACTGCTCTGGTCTGAATATGAAAAAAAAATGTAAAATAAATGTGAAAATGCTCTCACCAGTCAGTGTCCCTGATCCACACCAGTCATATGATGATGCTGTATTACTCTGGTGACAGTATGTACAAACAATTTGTGAAAAAAAAATTATTTAATATTTTTAAAAAACTCACCATGCCTCCTACTAAATACCTCAGATTGTCTACTTTCCAAAAGAGAGGCATTTTGGGGGATATTTGTATTGTCCTGGCATTTAATGGCCTCAAGAAATTAGATAGATCATCAGGGCGGATCAATTTCCAAATACACTGCTCAAAAAAATTAAAGGAACACTTTTTAATCAGAGTTTAGCATCAAGTCAATGAAACTCCTGGGATCTTGATCTGGTCAGTTGGGTAGCAGAGGCAGTTTCTCTAGGAGAGCTGGACAGGGATGTAGAAGGTCCTTAACCCATTAGCAGGACTGATATCTGCTCCTTTGTGCAAGGAGCAATAGGATGAGCACTGCCAGAGCCCTACAAAATTACCTCCAACAGGTCACAGGAGTGAATGTCTCTGACCAAACAATCAGAAACATACTTCATGAGGGTGGCCTGAAGGCCCCATGTCCTCTAGTGGGCCCTGTGCTCACTGCCTGGCACCATAGAACATGATTGGCATTTGTCATTGAACACCAGAATTGGCAGGTCCACCACTGGCACCCTGTGCTTTTCACAGAGGAGAGCAGGTTCACCCTGAGCACATGTGACAGACATGAAAGGGTCTGGAGAAGCCGTGGAGAACATTATGCTGCCTGTAACATCGTTCAGCATGACCGTTTTGGTGGTGGGTCAGTGATGGTCTGGGGAGGCATATCCATGGAGGGATGCACAGACCTCTACAGGCTAGACAATGGCACCCTGACTGCCATTAGGTATCGAGATGAAATCCTTGGACCCATTTGTCAGACCCTACGCTGGTGTAGTGAGTCCTGGGTTCCTCCTGGTGCACAAAAATACCCGGCCTTATGTGGCAAGAGTATGCAGGCAGTTCTTGGAGGACAAAGGAATGGATACCATTGAATGGCCCCCACGCTCGCCTGACCTAATCCAATGGATTTCGGTCCATCCGACGCCATCAGGTTGCACCTCAGACTGTCCAGGAGCTCAGTGATGCCCCTGGTCCAGATCTGGGAGGAAATACCCCAGGACATCATCCATCATGTCATTAGGAGCATGCCCCGAT